AGTGAAAACTTCATGTTGTAATCTCTTCTCCTCCATTCTTCCCCCAGGGTTGTGGGCACTCACACACATCTGGCACATTTTTCAAGTTGCTGGGTCCAGCATTTGAACCATGTAGTTGACCAGATGGGATCCAGCCACCTTAATTACCATGCCACCAGCTAGCTCTTGATTCTAATTCTTAAATTTATAATGAGAAACAAACAAACAAAAAACAGAATACCCAACATATTAAAAGAAAAGAACAAAATCTGAGAACCAATACTGCCTAACTTTCATGATTTTAACTTATAGCTAATTAGACTGGGGCTGCATGGTATGCACACCTTCAGTTTCCCAGTTTTGCTATCAAAGGTCTCTTGTGAAGAATCTATTCCTCTTCAGTGCAGAGGCAAATGCCTCCATATTGCAGTTGATCTGACCATCCCCTCAGGCCACTGCTCTTGCTTTCTACTTTCTGTCACCAGCTCTGGTGTTTTACATAGCTTCTCATTCTATGTTACCTTTTGTACATCCTCCACCTTCATTCATTACTGATGAGAATACAAAATATGCAGCTACTTTGGAAGAGTTTGGAAGTTTGGCATTTGTTTCTGTAAGAAACTCTGGGTCACTCTTACCATGTGACCCAGAAATTGTAGTTTTTGGTATTTACCCAAAAGAGTTAAACCTTGGGAACCAGCAGTTAGCATAATGGCTATGTCGCTGGACTCCCACGTAGTCAACCGCAGTTCGCGTCCCGGACCTGGTGGCTTAAAACTCACGCCAGGCATGTGTGCGTGCGTGCCCAAGATCCCGAGAGGAGAATGGAGGAGAAGGGATTGCAGTGTGAGCATCCCCCCTGGGGGGTGATTTCTCGCTTTCTGTCTCTCTGTCTCTCTCTGTCTGTCTGGCGAGCGCACGCGCCCTATAGTGAAAATATCTCAAAAAAAAAAAAAAGAGTTAAACTTTATGATCTCACAAAACCCTACCAACAGATATTTTAACAGATCTATTCAAAATTGCTAAAGCATAAACGTCATGAATATATCCCACAGTATATGAAAATTACTCAGTACTAAAAACAAAGGTGCTATCCAACCATAAAGAAATGAGAAAGAACTTCAAATGTACTATTACTAAATGAAAAAAGCCAGGCTTGAAAGGTCACATATTGCATGATTCCAACTAGATGATGTTCTGAAAAAGTACAACTATGGAGACAGTGTAAAGATTAGTTAGTCATGGTTCCAGCAAGTGGTGTGGTGGTTTAAGACTCCTACATGGCTGAGTGCAGTTTGATTCAGTGGCTTAAAACACTGGGCCTGTGTGTGTGCATGCCCAAAATCTTGAGAGGAGAATGGAGGAGAAGGGATTGTGGCAAGCCCATCTTCCTAGGGGTTGATTTTTCACTTTTCCTCTCACTGTCTCTCTCTGTGAGCACATACACACTATAACAAAAATCCATAAAAAGAAAAAGAAAAAAAAATAGTCAGTGGCTGTGAAGACTAGGCAGGAGGGAGAGATGAATAGCTGAGGTGTAGAAAATTTTCACTGTAGTGAAACTGCTCTTGATGATGCTATAGTTGGTGTACATGTCATGGTAATATTTGCCAAAACCCATCAAGTATATCAAGAATGAACTCTAATGTAAACTACTGTGTTTGGTTGTGATGAAGCATCAATGTAGGTTCACTGGTTGTAATATGGTGTACGATGTTGACAGAGGCTATATATGGGGGAGGGAAGGAGAACTCTGTATTTGTATTGGGGGAGGGGTAATTTGGGGTTATTGCTAATGGTAAAGAGTTTCATTTTTGCAAGAAAAACAAAGTTCTGTAGAATAGATGGTGGTGATGGTTATGTGACAATGTGAATGTACATAATGCCACCAACCTGTACTTTAATATGGTAAATTTTATGTATATTTCACTACAATTTAAAAGGATAATGTTGGGCTATCCCTATAGCCTAGTGGTTAAAAAAGCTGGATCTGGGACCAGCAGTTAGTGTAATGGCTATGTCGCTGGACTCCCATGTAGTTGACTGCAGTTCAAGTCCTGGACCCGGTGGCTTAAAACTCACACTGGGCATGTGTGCATATATGCCCAAGATCCCAAGAGGAGAATGGAGGAGAAGGGATTGAGGTATGGCCATCTCCCCTGGGGGTGATTTCTCACTTTCTGTCTCTCTGTCTCTCTCTGCCTGGTGAGCGCACGCGCCCTCTCCTCCTGGTGGGCACACCCGCCCTTTGGCTTAAAAAAAAAAAAAAAAAAAAAGCTGGATCTCACATGGCTAACTGCAGTTCAAATCCTGACTCTAGCAACTTGAAAACCTCACTGGGAGTATGTGTACATGCATGCCTCTAATCCTGACAGGATGGTGAATGGATTCCAGTGTGAACACACTCCACTGGGCGTGCTTTCTTCCTCTCTTCTCTCTGGTGAACATATACGCCCTTTGATAACAAAAAAAGAAAACAAGATAATGTTAAAATTTGTGTTCTTATTTATGTGGAATTTTCCAAGATGCTTTATCAAAAAAAAAAAAAAAAGAAAGAAAGAAAGAGAAAAGAAAAAAAA